TCCTTCACATTCTGTATTGTTTCTTGTAGGGTACATGTATAATCGCGTTATTTTATATCCTAAACATTATAATTTTACAAAAATAATTTTAATTTCAAAATAAATTTTCTTTTATTACATTTATTTTTAATCAATCAATTTGTAATTTTTAAATAGAACTATGTGACTTTGAGTTTTTCATTGCACCTGTGGATATGTCGGAGTGGAACCAAACCTGTCAAGTCAAAATATTTTTCAAAATAAATTTTATTTATTAAGATATCCAAATAATATCTCAATAAATAATATTTCTTCTTCTAAATTGAAAATAAAAAAATAATTATTATTTAGGGATTAAATAAATATTTTCAAAATTAAGATGAATTTACACAATTAATTTAAGGTAACCGTTTTTAAACGGACATTATGGGATGTTAATACCTTCCCTGCACATAAATGACTCTTGAACTCATTTTTTGTTTCAAAGATCATATTATTCTAAAAAAAAAATTCAAAGTTTTCTTAAAATAAACTTTGGTGGCGACTCCTTTGGTTTTTAGGAAAATATTTTTATTCTTGAAAGATATTTTTCTTAAACTTCATTGCGTCCATAATAAAGACGTTTACTGTCTACTCTTGATTCAAAACACTTCCACTGTAGTGTCCGAGTTGATACTCTTATTTTCTCTCGAACCATAGTAATATATATATATATATATATATATATATATATATATTTGATCAAACCCTTGAATTGTTTATTTCTCTTGAAATCTTTTTCATGTTTATTTTTAATTTTACACACGTCTTTTTTTCGGAGACTTACATCCATTATGTGGCATAGGGGTTACATCCTGTATAAAATTTAATAGTATACCATTTATACGAATAGCTCTTAATGCCGCATCTCTTCCGAGACCGGGGCTTTTTATCATGACTTCTGCTTGTTGCATGCCTTGATCCGCTACTGTTCGAATAGCATTTCCTGCTGCGGTTTGAGTGGCAAATGGTGTACCCCTTCGTGTACCCTTGAATCCACAAGTACCGGCGGAGGACCAAGAAATAACCTGACCACGTACATCTGTAACAGTCACAATAGTATTGTTAAAACTAGCTTGAACATGAATAACTCCCTTTGGTATTTTATGAGCATGCTTACGCGAACCAATACGTCCATTTTTACGTAAACTCATTTTTGGTATAGGTTTTGTCATATTTGATTATTTCATAAAAATAAGTCCGAGATATATGGATATATCCATTTCATTCAAAAACGGATCCTTTACTTTTTTTCTAACTAGTTTCTAACTAGAATTCATATTTGATTTATATATATCAATTGTATTTTTATATTAATCGACATCGAATATGAATTTTTGAAATAAAATTTCAAATTGGAAATACCAATAATAAAAAATTTCTTCTAATATTTTATAAAATATATATTCTAATATTTTTATATTCTATTTTTATAAAAAATCCTCTTTTGTGGAAATATTATCCTTGTCTTTGTTTATGTTTTGGATTGGAACAAATTACTAGAATTCGCTCTTGCCTGTGAATTAATCGACATTTTTTACAAATTTTATGGACGGAGGCCTCTATTTTCATATTTGTAATTCCTTAATAAGTTAATACCAAATCTATTTATTGGAAGAAAATAAGGTTTCCTTACATTTTGAACTTGTACCCAAAAAAAAAAGGATTGTTGAAATTAAAAAATAGTCTAATACCAAATCTATTTGTCGTACTGTTGCAACCGCCTAATTACAACAGTCACTAATAATTATTTGTGTATTTCACTGCTTAATTGTCTATTGTTTACATAATCAAAATTCATACCACAAACTTTCAGGTTGATTTAAAGTAAATTATTAATTTAAAAATAAATTAATTAATGTAATAATATGAAGTAATGTAAGACCATTAATGTACTAACATTATATATTCTTACGTTAGTAGCTACATCTATAATTTGTCCCTCAAATTAACAAAGCTTAATACGAATCTTATTATCATGAATTATAGATTTTCATTCATAGAGCATGCCAACGCTTATGGTTCGCAAACTGTATCAACTATTAATAGGAAACCAATGGTTTTGTACAAAATATTTTAATTTTATTATTTTTGTTTTGGTTTTATTAAGAACAATAAGTCGAGAGTAACGACAGAGATATAAAAAGAAATAGTTACCTAGTTGTACAGCCCAAATATTTATTAATCCATTGATAGCAACTTTTTTAAGGTGTACTTGATACTTGAAATTAGAATTGTAGTATAAAGATATTATTTTAATTTTAATTATGTTAGAGTTAGAATTTATTTAGAATAATAATTCTTAAATTCTGGTTGTGAATTAGAGCATGTAATTATTATTTAAAGTTGATTTTTAATTATTTCTTTTACTCTTTTAACTAATTTGGGATAGTCGTGAATAAGATTACGTCAAATTTCAGTGAATAAGTGACTGGTATTGACGATAATTAGTAATAGTAAAGATAATGAAAGTAAATAATTAATGACAATAACAATTATGATAAAAATTAATAATAACAAGAATTACAATGAAATTGATAATAACAGTGGTAATGGTAATGGTAAATACACGGTGATAAATTCAAAGTGACAATAATTAATGATAGTAACAGAGATAACAAAAATGATAAAAATAAATAAAATTAAGCAGCTACGTAATTTAAAGTGAAATTAAAAATTATAACTTGAAAGATAAATATTAGAAATTATTATTTATAGTTATATTAATTTTTTTTGAATAAAACCTTAGAATTATTATTCTAATTTTTAAAGAACTCATAATCGCCATAATTATAATTTCAATATAAATTCTATATCGAATTTCATGCATCGTACACACACATTGGTTTTTACCATTTTCTATATATACTCAATTCTGAAAACAAGAAATCAAATAAAAATAATGTGACATTTTATATTTAAAAATAAAAATATTTTCTCAAATCGAAGAATTTCTTAGGGATCATTTAGTTTGAAAATTATTTTTTGTTTGTTTATAAAAAATATTAGTGTTTTTATCTTATTTTCTATTTTTAAATTTTGCATAAAAATAAAAAAATAATTATTTTGCATATGAATTTTTAAATTAAATTAAAAATAAGAATATTTTGATAATTAAATATAAAAATAAAAACATCTTTTGAGAGAAAAATATAAAATATTTAGTGGAATTTTTTAAGGAAAATTGTTTTATGTATATTTTTTTAAAGATAATTTTAATTGGTTATTTTATTTTTAAATATATTTTTATTATATATAATAAAAATAAAAAAGATTTATACAATATACTATATTACATTAATTTTTTTAATCATTCACATAAATTTGAAGTACGGATAGAATAGTACTGAGCGCTAGTAACTCCGCTGTCGTCATTGTCTTCACGGTCTTCTCTCGCTTCGTTTTTCTTTTGATTAATGGCAATGAAGATAAAGCATTCTTGTTCCTGCGTGTCGAAATCTCATTGCATTCTTATCAAATTCAGAGCTCATTGCTTATCACTTATGAAGACGTTTCTTAGTATTTGGTTAGCTTAAAATTGAATGAAATTAATTTATAACCTTTTTTAAGATATGTAGAAATCAATCTGATCATTGACAGCTATTGAGCGGGTGAGAGTGGATTATTATAATTTTCAACACATAATTGTGTACAATTTGAATAATTTAAAGATTATAATGAAATTTGGAGTGTCATCTAGTAATTCACGAAGATAAAATGTTGGAATATGTTAAGACAAGATTTCTGTTAACGTTCCGGCGAAAAAGCATTGCAAATTGACGGAAAAAAGGGGGTAACGTCAACTTTTCTTATAAAGATCTTCAAATAGAATTTCAGAGGAAATTTTAATTTGAGTTTCTTCATTAACAATGTGCATAAACCTATGTCAGTGTTGTAGCAGCTGATCTTAATAGATTTGACAATGATTTGATGTTGATGGCTCACCAAAAATTTTCCAGCAGTTTTCTTTTGTGCATTCACAATGTGTGAAACCATCTGGCCTAAGAAGACTGCCATATCGTATATTTTATTGGGTGGGTCCACATAATGCATTATTTTCAAACTAGTTGCATGACACGTGATTGACTCATCACAATATCATAGTTGTAATTTTTGGGGTCCTAAGAGTGCCACCTCTAATGCGTTGCATCATTTTGACACAGTCCTTTGCTTAAACATTAGCATAGATGTGGAATGGGTTGCATCATTTTGGCTACATGTGGAATGGACACACTAATCTAAATGCATGCCTAAGAAAGATACAATTTGCATGGAATGCGATGGTTGAAACTAAGACCCTTGTTTCTAATTGGGCTTTTAAGGTTAGAGGTCTTTGCCTTGCTTTCTTTGATTCAACCCCAAGATTTTATATGCACCTTTCAAAGGGGGCAAACACAGTTGCTAGATTGAAGCAAGCTTTTGAGCTTGTCCATCATAGTTCTACTGTATATGTGAGAGAGATGTGCTGTACATTTGAGCCATCCATTACTGTGAACATGATTGACAAATGTCTAACATTCTTAAGGAGACAATGCCTATGCTATGAAGTGGAAAACAGATCTCACTCAAAACACCAGAAGGCGGGTAATTCATTATTCCTCCATTAATTCAGTAAATCTTCAAATTAGTCTTCTAAATTATATGAAAAAGACATTTTAATCCTTAAAATCTTAAAAAATCCTTAATTAATCTCAAATAAATGACATCTTGGAAAATCAAGAATTACTAAACTATTTTTAAAATCTCAAAAAACAAAAATACCCGATTCATACGGTCTTAAGGACCAATCTAAGTCTGATAGTCATTAAATTAATGATGATAAAATCCTTTCTTATTCGGATCATTCAAAGGATGTGAAATCCGTGAAATTCTTACCTAGGCATTGGTAGCATCTAATAGATGTGCTAATACATGATGAAATATAACAAAAGAAATTATATTTTGTTTAATTTGTTTTAAGAACAAAACAGAACAGAAAATGAAATTAAAAATTCGACTCAATTTGATTTCACTTAAAAAAAGAAACCAAAAAAAGATTGGAGCATAGTAGGATGTTTCATTCCATCCTACCCTGGCGTCAAACACTATCATTATCTATTACATGTACTCAAATTGAAAACTGACAAGTATAGAGACATTTTAAAAATGAGTTCATTTCTAACACGAAACATATGTAACATCCTATTGATTTGAAAGTCTATAGTAGCAAGTGCCTGCTTAAAAGTTTCTCTTCAAGCATTTAATCATTTTGTCTATAACTACTTTGTCCACCAAAACTCAATAATACATAACCCTACAGCAGGTGGCTATGGTCCTTTTGTGCTGCAATCACAGTGCTTCCAGGAAGCACGTTGTTTCTGTCCCAGATTGCTGGGTATAAAGCAACACAAAAAAAGTAACTCTAACAATTATTATAAACTGTAATCCAGCACCACCAAAAAGGAAAAAAGTCACTGACATTTCTAAACAACACATTATTCTCGCTCGTTACTAATGACAATCCTAACAAGTTAATAACTGCATGAAATATGACTAAATGCCAAAAAAAACAAGGAAAGTACTTCTGGGCCATGGAAAAAACACGAGGAATATACAGTGATCAAAATGGGAATGACACAATTTTTCAACGACACTCTAATAACAATGTTAAGGTCTTGGTTCCTCATACTTGAGCATTAACTTGCTCCAAGCACACCTATGGTCTTGTATCAAAAAGACCCCAGTCAATAACCCTGAAGCTTGTAACAGCAAGTTTAAAGACCTCATCCATGGGCAAACATCCAGCTTGGGCAGCTGGAACAGCTATACCAGCACCGACTGTGTCTGCACTTTCACTCAAAGGGCTGCAGAGATAAAATATAATGAAATGTCTTGCACACTGATAGCTTCCACAAAATCAGATTTCTTATTTCTATTTTCTGATTTAATCTCTAATCTGAATAGCGCAAGCATTAGGCTTGTTATGAAAAAGATATTCCAAAACTTACTTAATAACGATGGGCTCATATGCAGTCACTAGTACGTCAGTTTCAACTCCTTTAAGACGCAAATTTGCCAAATAAACCTGAACAAATCAAACAATTTAGGAATGATTCATCAGAACAGTGTCAAATTAGCATTTGCAGTAATTCAACACATGCCAGTTGCCAGGTAAAGTAGAACATACCTTCACAATATTTTGCGCTTCCCTTCCTTGCCGTCCCTTAGAAATTGCCTAGCAATGATTATGGATGACAGAGTGAGGGATAAAAACAAGTACAATGGCATAAAAAACTTTAAAAAGTCACACACACACACACACACAACACGTAAAAGAATAATCTTACTAAGGGCCATATGAAAGAAATATCAATTTTCTCTTGCAAAGAAAACAAGAATAGCTACATATCAATGAGTAAAAATACATATATCATATTCCTATCCTTTAAATGAATTAACTTAAGAGTAGCATCTGAAATGCAAACAACAAATTAATATTGTATTTAACTAGTACAGGACATCTGTTATTAAATCAACAGACCTATAATAGAAGTAAACAAAAATGTGTGTTCCAGTTTGCACAGCCTCAACAAGAAAATCAGATAGAAAAGCTTGATAAACCTAAATGACCATTGTAAAGGACGTTTTTAGATAAATTAATGCCACAGTTTCCTGGTCTTCAAATCACAAAAATTCAAGAATTTTTTCTTATTTTCACAAGTCAAGACTGAGAAGTTAAAGAAACTTTTGCAACAACTCGTGGACCAAAGATGGATTAAGGAAAAGTTGGCATCTTTGTATTATTATGCAGATATGGTGCTTGTGCTTGGACCAATTACAATATGCTGCTTCATAACCATGGAGAGACATTTCATGTGTCCCATTCAGGAAGGATATAGAACAAATTTAAACATATTTCACAGACAAAACTCAACGTCTCATCTGATAATTTCATATCGAAATAGACATAGGTCAACAACATGGCAATCATTGTTCCCACTGAGAAACATCCGAGTTCTTGACAATACAAGCAGAATTCACAAAACCAATGAATTACAAGCATATATTGGGAATTTTATCAGCAGTATGCAGACAATAAGGTAATCAACAAAAATGTCTAAGGAAAGAGGTAAAACAGGCTATATGCTTTGGCTGTAAAGAAGTCCTCCTAGGCCTAGCATAACCCCAAAGGAAAAATCCATACAACATCTCAGACTGCCTCTGAAAAATAATAAGGGAAATCTGCTCATACTTATTGAAAAATTTTAAAAAGTAGGTAGATATCAATTTACCAGTATGGACAAATTGATGGCCACCAAGATACCAAAATTAAAAAGACAGATACAATTCATACTACATGGGGAACATAACGAGGTTACAATACAATTACTCAAGTAATCATGCAAAAAAATGTCACAAAATAATATCAAGATCAAGAGCAACAAATAATAGATAGGTAGGTATTTACTATATGAGGAAGTCAATAAAATTTTTCCCACTTAACACTGTCTTTACATGCCCTCAATCTATGTACTCTGAATATAGAAAATAACAAAGCACGTAAGGCATGAGTGGATTAGAAAATGTAATTAAAAAGCCAAAGTGTAAGAACAGAATGTATGAACATTAATCCAAGGTGACTCATTTAGATGACCAGGATATGACATGGTAACACATAATCAAAGTCAAAAAAAGTATTGAAACTTTACCATTTGACCCACTGCAGTTGTTACAACGGCAGGTGTATTGTTATACATTAAACCAAGAGCTTCAAGTATTCCCGACTGCTCTAAAACCTGAAGTAATTTAAATGAAAAAGACGATCAGGAAACACAATAAACTTCTGCAACAAATAAGACACTAAAACTAACCGAAGGAAAGCTAACTTCTCCGACAGAAATACCTTTTCCTGTGTGCTGGGAGGTAATACATGCACACACCCAAACAGAGCCCCACATGAATTTTATCCAATAATAGAGAGTTAATTGAAAACAATGTGTTAGAAAGTGTATTGCTAGCATTTCTCAAAAGAAGAAATATCACCTTACATGCAATGTTATAATATGCTGAATGGGGAAATAGAGTCTATTAATCATTAACAACAGCCAAACCTCCCAAGACACATACAAAACATTCACACAAAGTCAAAGATCATCATAATACCCAACCTCAGGCATGATAGACAATATTAAATAGTTAAATTAAGCAACGAAACCACTACCATTAACCAAAAAACTTTTACAAGCTTTGATAAATTAAATAAATAGCAAATAGCACACTTAATGAAACTAAACCAACCAAGCCACCTAAGCACTTATTTTCATTGAACTTAATAGTTTGGGATAACAATCAAAGACTCAAAAAGACACCTACACTTGGTACTGCACACACATTACATGAACATTTTTTACCCATGCATAGGAAGACCACAACAAAATCCAGTTCCTATATACCGATTACAGAGTCACACTTCATAAATCTTGTAACTTAAAAGAGACTATAATGAAATAATGACATACCACACTTCCTTCAGCATCTTGCTCGCTGCCAAGGTCTTGAAGAAACCATGCAGCACTTCCATTATCAGCAACATCAGACTTTAATTCTAAAAGCTCAAAGATCAAGCTCTCATCACGGCTCGGGTCTGCAAACACCTCCTATAGAGCATCGAGACCAAAAAGTAAGTTAGCAAAAGGATTAAACAGCTCATAAAATACAATGAAAGACAAAGCATTACAAACCTGATGATCAGGTACTTCTCTAATGTTGCTGACATCCTACAAGCTCAGCAAAACAAAATTCACAGTTACAGTGGTTGATGCAAAGAACAGATAACACAACAACAATCTGGGAATAATAATAATAATAACAACAACAACGATGAATGACCTGAAACCTGTTGGGAAACGTGCTTAATATTTTGCCCCCAAACAACGGATGTTCGAAAACAATATCTTCTGGCATTTTTGCGCTAATAAGAAAAACAGGAGACACCACCACCGCCCTAGTTCGTATAAAAATGCAAACCAACCACCAATGTTAGGAATTCACATGAACCATAACCCAAAAATCGATGCCTTTTTAAAAATTCTTGGTTTCGACGATAATCAACCCAACACGAACAAACAAAAGCTGTCACAGTGTTGGCTATCCCACCCTTCATTCAAAAAGTTCCGAAAGTTTGAAGCCACAGTTGAAAAACGTTGTCGTGGAAAAAAAATCCTAAGTGGGATTTACCTGGGATTGCTGAGAGTAACTATCGAATATGAACAGAAGAGCCTAGCTTGTTCTGTCACTGCTTCCTTTGCTAATTGTTTGCCGCTGATGTTGCATTACTGCTTCCAATGTAAGCTTTCTTTCTGGGCTCTTTTTTATACATGAAATTTTGAGAAAAATTACATAAATATAAAAAACTTTTATAAATGGTCTGATAGCGTAAATTTTTTATAATTTTAAAATAATTTAATGACAACGATTTGTAGTATTTTAAACTTTTTTAACATTTCTTTAAAAATTTAACAATGATAATTTTAGTATTTTATATTTTTAAAGTTTTTTATCTCTTAATTTATATACCTTTAATGATAATATATTATTTTATATTTTTTAAATTTTTTCTAAAATTTCATTTCAATATATATTTTTTAAAATACTGTATAAAAATAAAATTTATTTTTTTTATTTTTTTCTATTTTATAAAAATGACAAAAAAAAAATGCACATTTAGTTTAAAAATTAAAGTATTTGCGACTATATTTCTGCTGAAAATAGTTTGACTCCTAGTAAATATGCTGTAATTTTTATTAAAATATTTTGTATAAAATAAATTTAAAATTTATTTTTTAAATATAAAAAATATACTTTTCAACAAATAACAAATTTATTATTTATTAAATAACAATAAATTTTTATTATATTAAATAAAATATTAAATGCATTTATAAAAAATTACATATTTTTTATATTAAATCCAATAAGTTTTCATTAATCTTTACTAAATTTTTTATGAATTTTAAAAATTATGAATTAGTTATTATTTAAGTTTATACATAATAAGGTTATTTCAATAAAAATATAAAGTAAACTTAGTATTTTTATCTTTAGGTAAGTTTTGAAGTACAATTTTTTTTATTCTTCTTTCTAGTCTTTTAATTTTTTTAGAAATTTTTAAAATAAGTCATTTTTCACTAAAAATATTAACTTGTTAAAAGTTTTTTTTTTTCACGTGTATCGTTATATATTATTCATTATATATTTTAAATTTTAAATTAAAATGAGAGGTCTCTCATATTCTCACTAAAAATTAAAATTGGCATAAAAATTAAGTTAATCTTTTGAAGCTCGGAACATGGTTAAAAAAAACAAAAATAGTTAGTTTGCATTTTAGATACAAATTAAAAGATTATTCAAAGAGTTGGAAAATGAAATTAAAACTTCCTCAAAAGTATAAGTGGTAAACACTAAAATGCCTAAATATAAATATGTAAAACATTATATTATGATTTTTAGTGATTTTACATAAATGCACAGATATAGGTAGATCATTTGTTTAAAATATTTTTGTAAAATATATATATATATATAACTGTAAATATATTTTTAAAATATAATAATTCATAAATATTTATAGAAATCAGCAAATAAAAATAGAAATTAAAAATTAAATTATCATTTTATTTATTATTTTATATATAATATATAATTAACTATTAATTTATAATATATTTAATCTTTTGTTGGTTCAAAATAATTTTTTTTATAAAATTAAAATTGTAATTATATGTATTTAAAATTACAACCGCTAATATAAACTTATATAGATCATTTTTTAAAAACAATTCTAAAAGCGAAATATATATTTGTAAATATATACTTAAAATATAATGATTGATAAATATTTAAAAATAAAAAAAAAATTAGAAACTAAAACTTAAATTATTATTTTATTTATCAAATTTGTATATAATACATAATTAAATATTTAAATTTATTGTGAAGTTAATATACCCTTTTATGTTATATTAACGTTGTAATGTAATTTTACAATTATTTGTAGTTAATCAATTGTTATTATTATTATTTTTAAAAAATAAATTTTATGAATATAAGTAGTTACAAATTTAATATTAATAATAATTTTAATTTATTGTATAGTTAATATATTTTTGTGATTACAAGTAGTTGCAAATTTAATCAATTGTCATTATTTAATTTTTTTCAAATTTTTTTTATGAATATAAGTAGTTACAAATTTAATATCAATAATTAGTTAAATTTATCATATTAATTCTAATATTTTTCTGTAAATTAGGTCTAATCAATCATTTTTATTTTTTCCAAAGTTATTTTTTTAAAATATTAATGGTTACAAAATAAATATATTCAACTTTCGTTATTTAGTTTGTTGTTACTTTTTATAAATTTTAATGACTATTTATTTTATTATAAATATATATAATATTATATAATGCAGGTATATATATATATATATATATATATATATATATATATATAATCTAAAAAACTAACGTCAAACAACTCTTAAGAATATATAGCATGCTTGCAAAGGATTTCTTTAATAAAAATAAAATTATTAAACATATTTCTTACAATATTGATAAAAGTTTTTAAAATAAAATTATTTTAAGAACGTATTGCATTTATATTAACTTATAAAATCATTATTATTACTTAGCTTTAAAAGTTAGATTTACTTGCACATAATTAGTAAATTGTCGACAAAACTCTAAAATGGTAATTCTTTTTACTTGATTTTTTTTTTCTCTTTATCATTCAAAAAAGTCATGAAAATTTTAGGATAACAAACATTTTTTAAAATTTTGTTTAAATTCAAACCCATAACTAATGATAGAACTAACATAAGTATTTATATTTTCTACTCACGAGTCCATATCCTTGCTTTTCTATCAATCTTTAATTATAATCTCTCCTTATTTTGATATAGACCGAAATTCTGTTATGATCCAATTCTCATCCGTAATAGATATCAGGGAGAGATTTATGGAGAATTTTCTTAAACAATTAAAACATAATTAAAGTTGTTTATTAAAAATTAAAAGAAATATATATTAACAATATCATAAATACACAGATATATTCTATTACAATTTTGACTAATGATTTTATTAACAGTTATAATTCTATTTTTTGTCTTTGGAGTGAACCTCTTACTTTAAAAAAAGTCTAATCGTTAAAACTAGTAAGTAAGAATCTCAACATAAATGCTAAAGTAGGAGTATGATAGGACACATTAGCAGTCATCGGTTCCGTTTGTTCTGTTCTCAACGTAGCCTTCCATGCTGGTTCTATTATGACTTTCAAGTGTGCTTCTTTTCTAGTCTGCCATTGAAGCATCATCATCCTCTTTTATCTGGGACATTTTATTGTAATTGTGGTAATTTGTTGAAGATTTGTTTTTTTCTATTCCTATACATTTCACCAAAACTTAGTAAAATATAAATCCATACTAATATATCTTGAATTTTCAATAATCTTCCTTATCTCCATATTCGTATTGTACAGTACCGGTGTCATACTATGTATTTGGGCTTCATACTCTATAACCGTTTCCTTGAAATGCTAAATGAAAGTGAATTACAAACTTCAATAAACCTGTTCACAGCACTTTAATTGTGTAGCAAAATATGGATCATTGATTTTATCATGCAAATACAATCAAACGATTATCAGCAGTTAGAAAGGCATAAACCATTTGGAAGTTTAGAATAGTCATCACTTGCAGTCACTAGAAAATGGAACCACAGGGTCTACCATTAACTTGCAGAATAAAAAGCAACTAAATGATGTAGTTAGTCAGCTTTTTTTCATCCTATTACAAGCAATTATCCAGTCCAAAAGTTTATATAGATATCAAATTTGCATTCACAATGCAATTCGTGGCCTTCCTAACCAGCCATTTGTTTTGCACAGATTACAAATATTCAAAACCAGACACCGGATTGACAGAAACAAGCAACATGTTCAAAATGAAATCCAAACCAGTATTGTACAAGAGGAAAACAAATAAAACAGAACCACCCCGCTCAATACTCAAAATAGATCAACAAGGACAAACACAAGATATCCCCCAAGTAAACCAAGGTATGATAAGTTTTCATTTTTATAACTGGATAAATTTAAGGAGAAAAATTGACCTATATGAGAGAAGACTAAGCTATACTACTATACACGATACAGAAGAAAGTAGTAAAAAACCCGATTAGTGTGCTAAATTCTCCAACCATTTTCCATATCAGATAGAAAAACAGCCTTGAATAAATGACATGGAACTCAAGTTAGAACCAGCTAACTATCACGATTTCCAAACTCCAAAATAGATTCTCTAAATAATATCACACTCAAAATTCAGGAAAAAGGAAAATAACAAAAACTTTATTAATCTGAAAAAAAGTATACTTTGAAGAGGGTGCTTATTTATATAGCTCCTATGCTACTCTTAATTGACACCCTTCTATTGCGGGACTTCCACAACATACAAGTAACAACTAAGTCATCTTGGGCATTATTTGAAACAAGAAATATAACAAATCAAGTCTGAAAAAAAATGCATTTATTGATAAGACTTCCTTGCTTTGCTCTATCAGTCTTTGCCATAAACTCCTGGACTTGTTCATTAATAAGCCATTGGAAAAGGACAAAAGAGAAGCCCCAAAAACAACCTTGCCTCAGCTCTGGAGAAATGGATGTCTTTGCTAAAATGCACACATAGCACTCTAACCACATTCATTATCCACAATGGATTGAAGTTTCTTCTTCCAGTAACTGCTATTATAACTTATACATTTTTAACCCTAGCCCTTGGAAGTAATAGATACCTTCTAATTGCTAGTATAAGCACCCAGGTAGAAGCAGATATCTTTTCCTTGATCATTAACAACAGTGCTGAGCTCAAAACAGTTTTTAAGATCTGAGCATGCAATCCTTTAAAATATCCCAGTATGCCCTCCCTTTTCCATATTCCATAGAAAACTCTAGACACTGTTTTCTGTTGTTTTGTCTTTGTTTTGGAGGTTTCTTCATTTGAGTCTGCAGATTGAATGATAACTTTACACCTACAAGAAGAAAAAGATCTTAGAAGGGTCCTGGAGACTAAGGTTCATAAGTCAAAACAAGCTGGAAGGAACAAATTATATACCTGATAGCAGGATATGTTAAACAGGTAGCAACACTCTTTGAAATAGCACCTAAAAGAAAAGCCATAAATGCAGAAAGGGATGCTGGAGTTCCTTTATCGTCTGTTTGTTTATTCTTCAGGGCTCGTTGTTTCAGCTGATCAAACACTGTATACTGTAGCAAATGGTAGTTTCAAATTACGCTGTTTTGGACTGAGATCAAGCTTTCTCCAATAATATAACTTAACAGAAAGCGTACAAACACGATACAGAGTTCCAGTTGTGTAAAAGTACAGTTTGACCAACCTGAATTGCAGGGTTTGAGGTCAGCAGCAAGGAAATGCTGAGGCCATCAAAAGCATCCCTCCATGTTCCTTCTGTAAGTGTTTTCAACAGCCCTTTAGATTTTCCAAAGTCACTTGTCTGCATTCTTGAAGAGGCTGTATCGAGGGGCTACACAGTGATCAATGAGACAAGCTTTGAATTAAGCTTACAAAGTTTGATAAGATACCATATGTCTCAAACACAACTTGTAGTATATACCTATAATTTATTACCAAATACTTCCTTAACAGCATGGATGATAGAACAAAACTCAAAATATTAAGAGTATGTTTGTTTTTCATTTTAAAAACAGTTTTCTGTTTTTAAAATAAAATATTATACAAAACTTTAACAGTTTTTTATGTATAACATGATCAAACAAAACTTTTTCCAAAGATACATCAGATCCTCTCCTTTGGGTTCCACATTCCAACTATGAATCACCCAAAATTCATAAAAAATACTTCAATCACAATTTTGTGCTGTCCAAAACAGTAATACCAATATGATGAAAATTCATTACCAACTTATCCTGCTCCAAACATCATAAAAGAAACGCTTTAAATGCACTGTTGTTTTAAACTAGGAATAGTTAATGCCACCTCACCTGAGTCACAATGGCTGTGCAAGCTCCAGCAGCAGCAGCAATAACCAAGTTTGCTTTTGTTCCGATGGATTTATAACCACTTTTTTCAAGATAAAGTCTTTTAAAGTAGCTGTAGCCATAGAAGTAGACAAATTGTGAAATGAAGGATTGAAGATTCTTTGTTTCAAGGCCCTGGTAAAGCGAAAGCACCTGACGGGTAGATATTGCCTCCCATAATACATCACTAAGATTCCTGCAAAAGTAAAACAAGTAGAATACATTAAGTTGGCAAATCTTTATACACAATGGCCAAGAAGTAAGATCAATCAACCTACATACTCAGGCCAGCAAATTCTGATAACTACAGAAAGATAATTTTGATGCAAATTGGCACTCCGCATGCTGAACATCTTTATCATTTGCAAAATTCAAATGCATCACACTTCATGTCCATGTTTAATTCACTTAAAACATATTTTTTCCTCAATAAGGTCCCTCTACTTCTAAGTTTCTCAATTGAATCCTTAAATGTTTTAAGTTGTTCCAACGTGTGGATTCCTACATTCTATAAACTTTCAACCAAAAATAAAGACTAGTGTCAATGTCAGACAACCAAAAGTTTGTTTTTAAAATCATACATTAAAAAAAATCCTCCTCGGGAACCTCAGATCTCTAGTTCTGTACAGTGTCTCCAACGAATTACCAATTCTCTCTCTAAGAAACCATTTTTACATCAACAGAGCAAACCCAGAAAGCGATATTTACAACAGGAACAAATAAAATAAAATAAAAAATCAACGATGAATCAATGATTGCAATTAAATTTAAAAAGATGGGTAGGGTAGGGATCAAGAAAAAGAGAAGAGAAACTGAGGAACCTGTATTTTCGGCGACCGTGGGAACGAGCCTCAGCTTGGTACTTGGTCTTGCAGGTGTCAAGAGGGTAAAGAATAGTTGTGCTGAGCAATGATCCTATGGCTCCAGAAGTGGCCTCTGCCAAGGATTCCAGATCCACGTTCATCTTCTTCTGAAATCAAAGGAAAGTGTGTGCCAGGATGGTATTGCTAATTCGCTTGGTGGTGGTTGTGATATTAATTAAATTATTTTTAGAATATATATATATATATATATATATATATATATATATATATATATTAGTATTATACAAGAGTAGGACAAATGCAAATGGGTTAGAGTCACAAGGAAAAGGAAAAGGAAAAGGAAAAGATGAATAGAAATTTGGATCAACGCATGGGGACAAAAAAGGGTCATCAATTCATTCATAAATCATGATTCATGGGACGCCACCACGTAACGTTGGGAACACTAACAAGGAAAACGTGTGTAGCGTGCTTAAGTAAAAGTCCCTCTAGTACTGCTACCGCATCTTCCTCTCTATGTGCTGCCCGCTCCACTAAGAATTGTTAAGAGAAAGGGCTTTTTTACAGTAATCTTCTAAACTTGATTATTAAAATCAATTATTATAATTTTTCTGCGTAAAATTTACCTTCTTAAGAAATGCTTTTAACTTCTAAGACAGAGGTTCAATATTTAAAATATATATATTAAAAAATAAAGTCCCATATTTTAATTTTATAGTTCAACAAATCAAACTATAAAATTTAAAAAAATAATTAAATCAAAAGCCCAAAGATTGAAAATAAAAAATCCTATATTTTACTATTATAATTTAATTCTCTCTGTTATACTGCGTGACTCTTGAAATAGTATATTTCAACAATATTAAGAATTTTAAATAATTTTTGTTTCTACTCTTGATGGACCTAAGAGAAACTCACAAGTATTTCGTAGTAGAGTATTAAAAATGACTATTTAAAACTTCTAGTAGTGTCTTATAAAAATTATCCTAACAAAAATTAGATCTATTTTTTAGATTATAGAAAGTTTATGCGGTTGTAAATTATAATAAAAAATTAAAATCTAAAATAACTAAATAGTAAAAAAAGAAGGAAAATGAATTCAGCAAGCACTCGAAAGATTAACTAATTATAAACAGACTGTATTTTATCTATGAGCCTATTGATCTTTTTCTCGTTTTATCATTTTATAAATTGATCATTGACCTTGTGATTAATCATTAATTCTAATTTTACTATTACCCAGTGATTATATAACATTAGTATTTTATTATATTTTTTATTGATATTTTCAATAATTATGCAAGATAATTAATAATGAAGAAAATAAATATTTTATGAGTTTATTAATTTTTAATAATTAATTAAAAAAGTTAAAATTTTAATCAATATTCAAAAAAATTAACTTCAGTATTTTAACAAATCTACTAATTAGATAATACTACAATGTATATTATGTAATTGACTAAAGATTATTAAATATGCATACACACACTTTGCTTTAATTTTTTTAAATTTGAATTGAGTACGACTGTGTTGGTTCTGTATTCTTTTTTTTTTTCTTTTTCAAAATGCACCCTTTAATCTCTTTATCTATTTTTATCATAAAATAAAATAAAATAAAATAAAATTTTCGATCAACTAATGAGTCTAAACAATATCATTCACCTAAAATTTTACAAATAAACTATAAAATAGTAGTTTATTTATTATATTTTATGAAAACTAATCTTTTTACCTCTATTTCATCATTACCTTGCATAAATATGTGATATTTCTACTTACTTTAAACTTTTACACTATTTTTTCAACCCTGTATCATTTATTTTTCATTATTTACTAACAAATTCACCATTCTCTTATAAGTTGACATATTTAATAGATATTTTTCTCCACGATTTTTATTTTCTCAACAAGTTTACACAAAATTTGTCCTGGATGATCTGAAAGAAAAATACATTTATATTTAATATGAATTTTAAGCATGGAAGTCAGGATGGCCGAGTGGTCTAAGGCGCCAGACTCAAGTTCTGGTCCTCGTGAGAGGGCGTGGGTTCAAATCCCACTTCTGACACAAAATCCATACCTCTAAGTTTTCTAATGAACGGTTTTGGGCTAAATTGGATTGTGACCCACTCCCACTGGGCCCAATTGAGGCGATTGACAATTAACAGTAAATTAGTAAACCATTATCTTAATTCAGATGAAGTAGATATCTTAATTTTTTACAAAAATTAATATTAAAATGTAAACAGAATATAAAGGTAATTATCATTTTTTCTTCTATTTAAAATTATGTGTATGATACGTCAATTTAATTTGATGGTAAGGACAAAAATACTCATACCTGAAGATATCCACATGAATTAGCTATGATGGGGTAGAAGATGAATAAACAATAAGTGAGTATGTATATTATATTATTTGTTTATTGGATATTTATTTTATTTATATTTTTATTAATATTATATATAAATTTTTACCATTTTAAGATGAGATTTTATTTTATTTTATCATGATTTTTTTGGTAAATAAGCACACAGTGACATTTTGCAATGTTAATATAATATTATATTGCATAATTATTTTTGTAAATTTTTATATATAGTTGCAAGTTGCAATTGATATAAATAAAATGGATATGGGAGAATTATTATTATACTTGTTTCGCTCTATTGACATCCTTAGCATTATAAGAATGTTGATGAGTTTGTGGCATTGGAACATTTTAATCTCCAATTGAGCTGTAAACGTTTTCTCTTCTGGCTGAAGAGCTACATCCAAGTTCAAGTCTAATCATCTAATGCTGCAACTGCCCATAACTGTAAGAAAATGATAATGTGAGCAGCATGCAAGTGACACAAAAGGAACTGGTCCCCAACCACTTCTTTTCTAATTAATTGGGACCCTTTCCTTAAGAACCATCAAACATGTTTTATCATAAAATACGTGTGATTGTCAAAACCACACCTTTGCTCACAATGCAACACGTGTCGATGGTTGAAATTTCACCATGCAGTTCCAACATATGTTCATTTCTTAATCAATACATTTCTGCCACATTTTCATCCAAGTGAAATATTGTACAGTTATTGTCATGCACAAGTTCTCTTTGATTTTTTATGTTTCGGTTATTCAGTAGAGCTCGTTTGAATAAATTTTCATAAAAATATTTGTATAATAAAATATATAAAACAAATAATTATTTTTTATAGATTAAATCAATTTATACACTTCATATTTTGAGGAAGTTAATTGAAAAAACTTCTAAAAAATTACAAAATTTTAATAAATTTTATGATTAAATTTATTGTCTGATTCATAATTTAATATCAACTTACTGTAACCTGCTGTGGCCACTAACTACTAATGTTTTCTTGAAATTGCCTTAGCTATAAAACAAGCAAGTATCAATCAGCACAAAGAACGTCTTATAGTTTTCTAACAATTATTAGTGTTGTTACATTCCTTCTTTCATGGCCTCCATGAGGGGAGTCAGATATTTTATCTTAAAAGAAAAAGGGATAATAAAGTTTAGAATTGACAATTTTTTTATTTGTTGTGATCAATGATTAAACATTTATTAAAAAATAATAGTCTTTAAGAAAACTTTGTTGTTGGGCCATGGAAACCGCCAGCCGAATACCATCCACCACTGGGTTGCCCTATTTGTCAAGAGCATGTTTGAACAGATGCCACATTGAGTGGGATGGGCAATGATTTTATGATCACAAGCAATGCAGTGTAGTGACATGTTGTCTACATTAGTTAGGGAAGCTTCAAGGAGTTGAAGAGAGGCTCAGTGATGATCAAGGTCACTTTCTAGTGGGTTCATCATAGATAAGGAGTAAGTATATTTCAACAAGAGAACAAAGAATGCAAATTAGATGCAGGAATTATGGTGATAGAGTCACATATGGATTTTTCTTCTAACATCCTTTGTCCTTTGTGCCCTCCTTGTCTGGCTTATTTTCAACGGGGAGCATATGATATGATAACCTTTTCTAAGTGTGCCATGAATTAGTAAATGTCAATGACATAAATGAAATATTCACACTAGAAGATCACTAATAAAGTTGAAATCCAAACATATATACCAAGTTTTTTGTAAAATATTCAGGTTGACCTTTTAACATCTTCACTCAGGTACACTCTCTTTGGTTATGATTTTGTGTTCTGCAGCAAACATTCCCTAACTACTTCATGTCTGGAGAAGAATATATATTTTTTCTAAAGTTTTGGGGTAGATAATATAAATATAGTTTACTACCTCAAAGGAAAAAAAAATTGTTCTCTATCCCCGAAATTGTTGTGAATGTGAAACATTGAGAAATTAAAATTTTTCTTTAATATTATTATATTTTATTCTTTTAGACTTTCATTGATACTATAGTTTGATTATCCCATTAATTTTTTTCTGGCTCAGTTCCTGCCCTTGTTGGTTTGTTGCAATTGCAGTCAGATTAAGTTTGTGAATGCTTAACATAGCAACCACAGAGAAACACTCTTGCACAAAGTGCCACCCTGCTATATGTGTAGCACGTTATGTCTTGATACCTTGTCTCACAAAGGCAGAAAAATGAGGTTTTTTCAAAGCATTTGACATTTAGAGGGACCCCTACCTCTCTAGGAAATAACATTGAGAATGGGAAAGAAATGCTACTTTATTTTTTGGTCATTGGGAAAGAAATACTACTGAAGAAAGAGAATACAAAGACTTGTGATGGTCCTTTGGTGATCTTTATTAGCTATAACCCAACATTTTATGATGATAATTCAAGCTGTTAAAGATTTAGGTTTCTCTTTTAAACTCTTATCATTGTTTACAAATTGGACATCCTGTTTTCTCTTGGCAGAGCTTATGTGCTAGAAGCATTAATTTCATTGCTTAGGCCTTAGGGTAACCTTGATCCAAAACCTCCAGCTAAAATTGTCTTTTAATATATAAGTAAAACATGCATAGTTGTGATATTGATTATTACCTATACAAAATCAAGTAGCAATAGGATCCAACATTTCCTGAAATTTGGTATTATAAATCCCTTGGCTAGTATCTAACAAAACGCACTGCATGGTTTAGCAGAGAGATAAAAGGTAACATTTAAAAGAGAAGAAAAGAGAAACTACACCAAGAACAAAAGTTGGAATGCTCAATCAGCCACCATTGTTTCTAGGAGCTCTCCACTTCCTCCTTCTACAATTCACTTCTCTTTACCTGATAAGGATCATTTTCCTGAAATTAGGAAGAGAAGTAATTTTATTTTCCTAGGTATATATACGCACATACACACACATTAAAATAGAAATGAAATGAAATGAAATAAAAGCATGGCTATACCTATTGATCTTTTACAATGGAGAACTGCTTCATAAATTGAGTTCTCATGATCATGCAAATCACCAATAGGATGGGATGTAATTAGTTTTGGAGATGCTGTCTGTGAACTGCTCAAACATTTAACTTGCCAATCTGTCTTATCAATATCATCAACTCTAATACTCTTCCTTGAGCGTCCTACTTTCTGCCTTAACTGGTTGACATACCTAAAGAAATCCACCAAGGTTCGCCGGGTCGATTTTCTCCACCTTGTTAGGAATCCATGATGAATTTCCATAGTTCTTGAAGAAAAAGAAGAAACAAGCTTATTTAGAGTAGAATCTGAGGGGGTATTGCAAAACTCTACTTTGGAAGAGTCAACAAACATAGGCCTAAGAAGACCATCAGAGAAAATTTCATCAGCAGGAACAAGAAGAAGAGGTGAGTGAGGGATAGAAATATCAAAATTAAAGTTTTGGCATTCTGGCAATAAATCATCTGAGCTTTTCACACTGAAGTTGAATTCTTCTGAGGTGTCTCCATAGGAACTATAAACAGATTCTCTAAGAGTATCTGCAGGGGATTTAGAGTTTGATAACCAACTATATGAAAAACTATCACTGGCTAGAGGCACTGAGGTTTCCATTTTGCAAGGATTTTAGGCAAATAATGATGAATGAAAAAAAAGTTATATACTCCTAAGGACAAATTGATGTTATTGATAGCTTATAGTGACAAAACAATGGTGACCACAAGGGGAAACTTTGTCTATTCTATCAAGGTCAAGTAGGGAACAAATGGAACAATATAAATGCAAAATTGTATTGACTTTAAGTAGTAAGTTTAGCTTGCTTTCTCATCTATATAGTTATGGTTGTCTGCAATTTCTTCTCTATTGGACAAACAAAATTTCATAAATAAATCAAAGTTTTGCTTGCTTTCTCAGTCTTTATAATTTGTAAGAAAATTAAGTAGTCCATTAACTTAATTTGCTTGATAAGATAACCCTTCGTATTTCAAGGAAGAATCTAAAACACCAAATAATAATAATGATAATAAAAGGAGCGTGACGATTGCCATGTTTCATGATCTAAAACGGGGTTCTTAGGATTTGGCGTATGAATAGCATGATAAATGCCATAAAGTTTGGTATGAAAACTACTTGAATGATACAATATAATATCCTTAATTGTAAAGTATGCTAGTTAAACAGTTGTGATTATTTTTAATAAAATAAAATACTTTAGATAATATTTTACTTCGTAAGACTTAAGAATTAAAAATATTTAATACTCTTTAACTAATTATCTTAACACACTCGTTTACAAGATCCCAAAAAACTTTCAAATATATATTCATGTCTATTTCAGTGCACATTGATTTGGTGATCTGAAATTTTTGGGCCTAGAGTTTCAAATATCCATCACAAAAATTGAGGGATGTACTTATAATAGAAATAAGGTCGACCTTTATCAAAGCATCAACCTATTCATCCAAGAACGCCTAACCAGAATGAAAACATGCCCCACAATATTGAACATAATGTCAATCATACATAATAGAATTATAGAACCATAAAACAACACAAACAGCCAGAGAAAAGGTTAATGGCTATGTCTCACCAATCAACTGAAACTACGCTTTCTGCTCAGATACAAAGAGATGCTATAATAATAGTTCACACTTACCACCCCATTGCCTTTTCCACTGTGTCTATATATTATACACGAGTAAATGCCTATTTTAATTCTTAAAATTATAAATATTGATTAATTTAACTTTACAAAAATTGTATTTTGGTTTTTAATATTTAAAAATTACTATTTTAGCTTCTTCTTTTTTATTTCTGTTTCATATACATAATGATTAAAACAAATGTCGTTTTATAAATTTAGGAAATTAAAATAAATACTTATTTCGGTTTACCCTGAAGAAGAAAAAAACTTCTTACTTAAGTTTTGAAAAACATTTACCTTAAAAATCAAACCCTATTCATTGTCTCAACCGTCGCTTTATGTTTAAACATAAGTAGATAATACCAACCACAGCCATTAATTCAAGGTACATCTCAACTGAAAATCTAATGGGACCAAAAGAATAACAGCAGGTAAAAGCCAAAGTTGTGAATGACTCTAGTCGATAGCTACATATATTTATAAATATCTCTATACCTAATTAAAATAAAAAAGAAACTAACAAGGTTCTAATTGTTTGTTGTAAGATTCTAACCTAATTTACATGAAACTTATATTGCAGTTTTCCGGTAAGTTAGGGAAATCACTGTCTCTATGGACAAACAAAGCTGAGATTCGATGCACCACATTCAGCAAACTATTATAAATTAAACAAGAAAATACAAGTAGAATAGTAGAACCAATGAGGCATTGTACTAAATTATTTTTCTTTAATAAAAAGTGTAGAACAGTTGCTAGTTATTTCAATTGGATGGAGAATGGTAGGAAAAAACTAGTTTTTCTGACATGTGATTCATAAACACGTGTTAAGAAGCTAAAAATAATTTTTTTATTCCAGCAAAAAAAATAATTTTTTTATTAAAAATAAGAATTGACAGAGTCTTCAAAATTGACAAAGCCAAGGTGAAAATTGATCACAACAATTAGTGTTAAACTTAGGAGTCGATTATTCTAGAGGAGACAAAGAAATTAAATGAGATAAAAATAACCTAACCCCAACGCCATTTATACCGAGCTCATAATATACATGATAATAAAAATTAATATATATAATAACATAATAAAATATCTTAATAAAATATAAATATGTTAGTTATATAATAAAAAATTACGTACCTTTTATTCAACTTAGCATAGTTTTTTTAATTCTTTCTCGAGTTTTAATTTTTAAAAAAAACATAGAAATTATTGTATAGTTTAAAATTTTGTTAACAGTGTATAAATTTATAATTTATATATTAATTTTTATATTTTGATAAATTTAATATTTTTATGATTAGAGATTAACTTAAAAAATATTATTTTTAAGTCATTTTCTTTTATTTTAATACTTAATATGTCCAAATTCTCTTATTTATTAATATTTAAATATTACCTCATGATTAAATAAAGGTAGTGTATTGTATACCTTATAAATAAATGAATAAAATAACATAGTATAACAAATTTTTAAAAATTATATTATTATATATTAATTTTTAAATATTTTACAAGTTAAAGATATTAAAATAATATATATTTAAAATAGATCTTTTTAAGTATTTTTTAATAAATTCTACCAGCTAGGCAGATAAATTTAGTAATTGTAGTTTAAATTTAAAGTTAAAAATGTGAAAGAGATATTTAAGTAATTAAGTTAAAAGATTCAATAAAATCAAATAATTTCTACTTAATTAAACTTTAAATAGTGCACAATGAAATAAAAATGGTTTATAAAATATTTAAATCAGAAAGTATAATAAAAAATACAATTTATAATGATAAACTATTCAAGATGAATCAAAAGATATATAAGTTTCTTTTTACACTTTTTATGTTATTTTTAATCTAATTTTAATTCTCTTTTTTTTATTGTCAATTATACTAATATTATTAACATCCAATGATTATACAATACTAGCAATAATTTTTTTAAAATTATTATTCACAATGGATATGTAAGACAAAAAAAAAACAAAAAAAAAACATAAATAGCCTATAAATTTGATAATTTAATAACTAGTTAAAAAAGAAAAATTAAGTTTAGTCAATATACTTCTTTATTTCATTTTATTCTATAGTTTTATTAACTACATATATTGTCGCTTACAATGTAACTAATTATGAGATATAAAGAGACGTCAATTTTCAAAGTATTTAACAACGCTAGAGCAAAACCAATAAAAAAAGAGAATCATAATTTTCATTAAATACAAAAATCACACAAAGTAAGCAAATGATTCACTTTAGGTCTAGTTACAAATTTAGCTACTCATAGTGATGTGATCAAAGAAAATAAATGTAAAAAAATTCATATTCATTTAATATATATATATATATATATATATATATATATATATAAAGCAAACTAGAGGAATTTCAACGAAAAAAAGATGATAAGAGTTTTTGTTTTCAAAATGTGTTTTCAATCACTTATTTAGACAATGGAAAGATATCCTCAAAGGAGAAAAAGACTAAAAGAGTTTTCATTTCCAAAACATGTTTTCAATCATTTGTTTAGATTATGGAAAAATATTATATGTCTTTTGTCTATGATCTCCACTTTCAAACATCTCTAAAATTTGTCAAAAGTCAGCAAAGTAAAGATGTTTTTTTTTGTAGGTTCTCTTGTTCCTGAAATACAATTCTTAAAATCCTAAAAAATATTTTAAATTTGAATCATTAGATAGAAAGCAGGGTCATGCATGCCTTTAAACACAGTAATGCATGTCATTAAAATACTCCAGTGAGATTGTTGAGTAAGAGTGTGCTTCATGCCTCAAATTTTATGTAATTATAACAAACAAAAATTCTTAACAATGCATTGGTAACCTCTTTATGCTAAACTATAACAAATAATAAATAAATTAGTAAAAAATAGTACAAAACTCTCATTAAATAATGGTCAAATATATAAAAATAATATATAAAATACTGCAAAATATAAACTTATTAATAGCAATGTAGAAATTTGATTTAATTATTTCTTATCCTACTTGAATATCACTTATACCTAATTACTCCATCTTAAGTAGCATGTAAACTTATTTCTCAAATCCAACAACTCAAATAATCGTATTATATTTGCATTATCATACTTTAAATTGAAATATTTGTTGTAGGTAAAACTAATTAAATTAAAAAATATCATATACTCATCTCAATTATCTTAATAACAAACAACTTAGCAAAATTAAAATAAATGTAATAATTAAAAAGATATGGTTGAATATAAATAAATATAATAAAATCATTATTTATAAGTTTCGCTTCAGCAATACAATATTTGATTGAGCTAAATTTATATAATAATAACCATACAAATTGCACCAATTTTGGTTTAATTTATTTTTTTCACTTAAGTTAAAAATGTAAGAATTATTTATTTGCACAATTTGCTTAAGCAATATCAATTCCACTTAGCTAATAGTTATTCATTTAGTTAAATTTATGCAATAATAACAATACAAAATTTACCAATTTTTGCTTAAACTATTATTTTTTACTTAAGTTAAAAATGCAAGAATTATTTGTTTACATAAATTGCTTAAGCCATATCAATTTTATTTAACTAATAGTTGTTTAAATAAGTAAAAAATATATTCTTAAATTACTTTCAACACTGTTTAAGTGATATTCTTTTATTAAATAATTTTTTTAACTTATATATATAATATAATTATATAAAGATCTAAAATAATAATTTTTGAGTGCTTAAAGAATAATTTTATAAATTTTTATAAAAAAAAAAGTAAAATTTATAAAAACTGATACTATTAAATACAATTAAAAAATTAAAATTTATTTTATTTTAAAATATATCCAAGTATTTACATATGCTTATTTGCTTATGCATCAATTAGTTACCTTGATACTATTCTTTATTTGAATTTATCGTTTATAGTACATAAATAAAAAATATTTATTTATTGTCCTATTTCTAAGTAGAAGGAACATTTTTTCTTTCCCTTCTGCCTTCGTGTTCAGTAGTTGGGAGAAATAGTTGGAATGCACTCCTTTCACGTATTTTAAGGGACCAAACATCAAAGTAAAATTTTGTTTCGCCCACGTGACGCTGCGTCGACTCATCGAGATTGCGAAACAAACACATGCTGACCTTTTTATTTTTCTATATTATTTTTTAAAATTTTTATTTTCGGCTTAAACTTTTCACATTCGATAGGGCTTTGTTGATTGTTTTTATCAACTAAACACAAGGTAAATTAAGTGTGTGCTTGGGTGACTGTTTTGAAATTTGAATTAGAATGTATTTAATTATATAGAATTGATTTTAAAAACGAGTTAAAATTAATTTTATAAATTTTAAGCCACCTAAACTGCAAAGTTTTATTAAATAATTTTTCCAATTATTTTATTCAAATTTAAATTTAAAATTAATCAATCAATAATTATTTTAAAAAAATAATGTAAAAGAGTTATATTGGTTTAAAAAAGTAAATGTTTTATGATGCACTATTACTTATGTATTACACTATCAACTAACATCATTAAAAAGAAAAAAAAGTCATTATTAAATACTATAAAAAATATATAAAGGCAATATTAAAAATACAACTTGTAATGAAATAGTTAATAAATCACCTCAATGCTTTTATAATAATTTCACAAAAAAACAACAAATGTATATTAATGATTTTTATGAAAATACACATATTATATTAAAATACAACGAATATATTGTGCACGATATTTTATATGGTAAACTAAGCATATAACTTTTACTGTTAATTTATAATGAAAAGCTATTATGATTTGTGGATGCAGAACGGTGATTTTAGACAGAGAGGAGGTAAACTCGGAATTAGCACGTTCCAGAAATGACGGTGAGAGCGTCAAGTATCTATCATGTGCTGTGGGGGCGCGTGAGAAGAAGAATCATTCAATAGCACTGGGCCCCACCACTCAGAAGAGACACTTTTCCATATACCTGTCTCATAAACTTTACAGTGCATTATCTCTATTATAATTTGTCTTTGTTAATTTTCATTCTTAAAATTAAATTTAAAATTTCAGAAATAATAAATTTTCGTTATAATATTAGAAACATAAAATATAATAAATATTTTATTTTTTAATAAATTTTTTATTAAGTATTTTAAAAATAAAAATAAAATTGACAATTTATTAACACACGTGTTTTTAATTTTTAAATATTGTTTAGAAAAATATTTAAATAAAAGAAATAAAAATAAGAGATATAATAGATAATATAGCATAATAAAAAATATGTGTGGTTGACCCCTAGTCATATGTTAAAAGGAAGGGACCCGACATTAAGCAAGACCCAAGAGTGTAGGGGTATCACACATAATATCTTCAATACTGTTATTTCAACTCTTTTTTTTTAATATATATAATACTTTTACAATAAAACAGAGGTAAGAAAAAAAGTAAAATGAGATAAATAGTGTAATGAAAATTAATAAAATATATGCATTATGAAAAGTTATTTTGACCAAAAAAAAGCACTAACATTATTCTAATGTCCATTTGGGAGGTACCCATCTGGTGATCTGTATGCATTGATGTATATGGTTGGCAGGACAGATGGAAATAAAGCAGGATCGTGATGAAATGACTGTTATTTATTCTTTTAATCAAAACTTATATATCATGCTCTGTCATGTTTTAATATATTTACAAAAACCATGTCAGAAATATCTTCTTTTAATTTAGAGTTTTTATTTGAAACTTTTAAGATTGAATTATTTTAATATTTAGTTATAAATATAATTAATTATACGAAATAGGCTTATATTTGAATGTATTAGATAAAAAAATAAGATAATTTATTTTTTTCATCTAATTTAATTTATATTTAATGTAAATCACATATTTAAATATAGTGAATAAGTTTATTATTAAAAATATTTTATATATATAAAAATTTAAATTTAAAATTTTATTTATAATATTAAATTACTTATCACTCAGACAAAATTCTGATGATAAATAATTTGTTATTTTAAATGTATGGTGTTGATTTTACAAGGATAACGATGGTCTCTAATTTTTTAAGAAATAATTGGTTAACTTAAAAGAAGGAAAAAACTGTTGTTTCACATTTCTATTAACTTTCTGTTCAACTGCCAACTTTTCTAATAATATAAAACAACATTATTTTAAAAGATCATACAATAAAAAATACAGATAATTACAATAATAAACAAAAGTTATATGGTGTCGTTATCAATTATTCCCAATTTCCTACGCGAGACATACAATGCAATTTCCATTACTTTTGGGCGGATACTCCGATCTACCTATCTAAGATCAAGGGTCGTTTGTTTTAATTTTTTTTTAAAACTTTTCAGTGTATTCGTTTAAATTTTTGAAATTTTAAAAAAATATTTGAATAACCTCTTAAAAAATCACAGTTACGACTATCTTTTAATATAAATAATATTTTACAATTGTAACTAAACAAAACAACATTTATTTTATATAAATTGACCAGAAAAAGGTAAAATGTTAATTACCTTTTATTACATTCTTATTTAAAAAAAAAAGAAAGATTGAAATCTTTAGTCTACACTATAATTTCCACAAGGTTGAATCCTTCTAGTAGGTTTCCTTTGAAATCGTCCATAATAAATAGAAAAAGACTTGTTCAAAGAACAATAAGTTCCTTTCCATATATAGGGATATTTTTTTCGTAGTGCCAACGGTTTTCAATTACTCCCAATTTCGTATCTAAGTGATGCACTGCAAGTGCAATTTGCACAAGTTTTGGATTTATATGGAGAAATTCTGACTCAAAGTTTTTGATTACTTGCTGTAATTTTGACAAAGTGTACTATCTTGTACTAGGTTTCCTTTCAAATTAAGCACGATAATTAATTCGAACGAGACTTTTCTGTTTTGAATTAAACTTTTTGGTAATTTGTGATAATTACCTTTTCTGGATTTATAATTTTTTCAATAAAAAAAGCCTCTTATCTAATAAACACATTACAAATAGTAAATATATTATTTCAATTAAATTTATATTTATCTCAACCTTATTCATTATCAATCTTAATCGATAATTATAATTTGATATTTGTTTCCATCAAATAGATTTCTCAGTTTCCATTATCGTTACAGAAAATAAGTCAGATGAAATAAAATATATTAAAACTAATTACAAATGGAGATTATTTTCTTAAAAAAAGGAATAAAGAAATAGGTCTGTGAAATTGCTGACAGAGCAGTGACACGCTGCAGGGTGGTTCATGTGAAGCTAAACTGCTGAAAAGCGCGTTCGCAATTTTCCAAAAATAAATTGTCTTATGCTATAATCTAACCTTCGAAAAATGAGTAATTCAGTTGAGTAGCCTCTGCTCTAAGAGCCGTTGAAAGCAGAGGGACCATATCATCCAGCGAAGCAATTGCGTTGGCCCACTCACGAATATAACCCCATGTCACTCTCAAAGGGTCCCATCAACATGTTCCAGCCACAACTTTTTAAATTACATGCTTCTTTTATTTATTTATTTATTATTATTATTATTATGGTTATTTTTTTAAAAAAATTAGGTTTAAACAATTAAACTTTTCGTTTCTGTGCTGTATGTAACGCAAGTTGTGGCACCTTAAAAGATTCAAACTCGCTCAGAACGATAACAAAGTTCAACAACAACTTAGGTAACAGAGAGAGAGAGAGAGAGAGAGAGAGAGAGAGAGAGAGAGAGAGAGAAGCTAAAAGGGTTTTAGATCCCTGAACCAGATCAAATCGAAATCCCTTTCATGGGGTTGTTTTCGTAACCCCATTGCAGTTAAAGGGGATTCCTTGATTAAAATTTTTGTTGCATTGCAGAATCGGATACCAACCCATCATTATATTCATCTTCGTCTTATTATTCTTATTCTCATTGTGTTTGTTTGATTTGTGTTTTTGTTGGCACAAGAGAGAACAATGGAGGGTGAGAAGAAGTACATCACCTCTGCGGAGCTGAAAGAGCACAACAAAGAGGGAGATTTGTGGATCTCAATTCAAGGGAAGGTTTACAATGTCACAGATTGGGTCAAGGAGCATCCTGGTGGTGATGTTCCACTATTGAACCTTGCTGGTCAAGATGTCACAGATGCATTCATAGCCTACCATCCTGGCACAGCGTGGAAATTTCTTGACAAGTTTTTCACTGGGTATTACCTACGAGATTTCAAGGTTTCTGAGGTTTCCAGGGATTACAGAAAGCTTGCATCTGAGTTCTCAAAACTGGGTCTTTTTGACAAGAAGGAGCATGTTACCTCTTGCACACTTGCATCTGTTGCTGTCATGTTCCTTGTTGTTCTTTATGGGGTTTTGAGATGCAGCAGCGTGTGGGCTCATTTGGGTTCTGCTATGTTGTTGGGTTTGCTCTGGATGCAAAGTGCTTATGTGGGCCATGATTCTGGCCACTATGTGGTCATGACAAGTCATGGTTTCAACAAGTTTGCACAGATCCTTACTGGGAATTGCTTGACTGGGATAAGCATGGCTTGGTGGAAGTGGACTCACAATGCTCATCACATTGCCTGCAATAGCCTTGACCATGACCCTGATCTGCAGCACATGCCAGTCTTTGCCGTGTCTTCACGTTTCTTCAACTCAATCACATCTAGGTTCTATGGAAGGGAATTAAAGTTTGATTCTTTTGCCAGGTTCTTCATCAGTTACCAGCACTGGACTTTTTATCCAGTTATGTGCGTTGCAAGGGTCAACTTGTATGTGCAAACACTTCTGCTTTTGTTTTCTAAGCGTAAAGTCCAAGATAGAGCTTTGAACATAGTGGGAATCCTTGTGTTTTGGACTTGGTTCCCTCTTCTTGTTTCTTACCTCCCAAATCTGCCAGAGAAGGTTATGTTTGTGTTAGCTAGCTTTGCTGTTTGTTCCATTCAACATATTCAGTTCTGTTTGAATCACTTTGCTGCAAATGTTTATGTTGGGCCACCAAGTGGCAATGACTGGTTTGAGAAGCAGACAAGTGGGACATTGGATATCTCTTGCTCCTCTTGGATGGATTGGTTCTTTGGGGGGTTGCAGTTTCAGCTTGAGCATCATTTGTTTCCAAGGCTACCTAGGTGCCAATTGAGGAAGATTTCCCCTTTGGTTAGAGACCTATGCAAGAAGCATAATTTGCCTTATAGAAGCTTGTCATTTTGGGAGGCCAATCAATGGACAATTAGGACCCTTAGGAGTGCTGCTTTGCAGGCCAGGGACCTAACTAACCCTGTGCCCAAGAATTTGTTGTGGGAAGCTGTTCATACTCATGGCTGAGACATTTAATTTTGGATTTTAGGATACTGTTAAGGTCTTATTTTGTTCTTGAAAAAAAAAATTATCACTTTGTAAGCCCCTACATTTCCAAGTTGGGGCATTGAATTTAACTTTTTGCTTAGGTGTGGTGTAGAAATTATGATTCAGATATTACAGTTCATTTGCTTTGCATCGATACAAAGTTCATATCCTTATATGCCTTTTCACTTCTTTTTCTTACATTGGCATTGGTTGTTTGCTTCTGAAATTTATACCATTCCATCAAATCTTGTATGTGTTTTCCTATTCATCAGTGTTCGAGCAGAATATTTGTTTTTTCTTTCATTCTGGTTTTTGAGCAGAACTGTGGCGTATTGGTTTTCAAGCCACTTTGTGTTTGTGCCTGAAAAATAAGAAGAAAATAATCAAGAAGCTTGTCATAATGTCAATGTTATGGCTCAATCCTTGCATTCGAAGTTAAGGCTTGAGTTAGCAATTTGATGGCATTGTTATCCTTGGCTCAAGAATGAATTTAGCTTTTGCTAGAAGATAGATAAATCTTGTGGCATCAGCAAGGTTAAACAGCGTGGATTATTCTCAGCCACTGAAGATAAATTCCATAGTAAGCAATATTTGGTAAGGGTAAATAAAAGTAGTTTAGCAGAGTTTGAGAATTGATGTATTTGAGGATGTGAAAATGAATTTGAACCTGATATAGGGTTTTGTTAATAGCTCTATTGCTAAATCAAATCATAAACGTAAATTGGTTTTTGTATTTTGCTCGTTTTATAATTTGCATAAGAATAATTTCTCTAAATTTTATGATTTAAAAAATTAATTAAGAAGTTGATACCTCTTGTGGTAGTGTCATTGAAAAATACTGTAGAGGATCGTGATTTGAAAATAATCTAGTGGTATCAAAAAGGTAAAACAACGATGGTTCACAGGCAGCTTGAAATGGATTGATCGTTAAATGTTTATCCTTTTTTGTGCTAATTGTTTGTTAAATGTTAACTAATACAGAGTTGGAATGTGATATAGAATAAGATCAGGTCAACATCAAACATCTTCTCAGTCTCGCGGCCTGAGGAAAATAAAGTTCATATTAAACCTTAGTGTGAAATTTTGAAACGCAAAAACACGTTTATTGTATAAGATAAATAAAAAAATAAATTTTTTTATTTAATTGTTAGTATTTATTTAATAAGATAGGATATGTTTATATTATAAAATTTATCTTATAAAAAATAGTTAAAAGAAAGTAAAATAAACTTACTGTTTTATCATGCATTAAATATAAATTAAAATTAAAAAAATCATCTTATCGTTATCATATATTACTTTTACTATATTTTATTGTTATTTGAATCCTATATTTTATCATCAAATAAACTTTAAATGTTAGCTTAAAAATATTAGCTTGAAAAATCTTATATTAGCTTAAATGATTGAGATTGTTTCAAAGATCTTGCCTTATCGTGTTCATAATTCAAAATTTGTACAATAATGGGCTGGATTATGAAAGAGTTGGGTAAGTTTATGTATTTTTCACTCTTAATATCCTCTCTTATCTTATCTATCATTGTTCTATTTTAATCATTGCATGAGTCTTAGCTTTAGATTTACATTTTTAAGAGTGAGCACTCAAATTTAATGTACAAGAGATGTTCTCTTCAATTTTTATTTTTTTTTATTTTTTAGTGTATTCTTATATAATGAAATAAAATTTTCGTTACTGATAATAAAGACATTTTTTGTTATACATTCTTGTTTCTTAACCCGTGTCATTATTATTTAATATTGGTGATATTTTTCTTATATATTTCTATTATTTTTTAAAAATTTAGAAATGCAAGTAATGTTTTCTGATGATTTTTTTTTAAATTGTTCTTTGATCCATAACTTTACACACATGCATGCTTAATAGGTTCCATCATTTTTTTAAAAATTTTATTAAAAAAAATAAAATTTATCAGTTACAATGGCATAAAAAATTAATTTTAAAAAATTACATTTTAGTATATATTTTTTTAAAAATTATAAAAAAGCCTATAAATTTTCTAAGTTGTTTTGGATCACTAATTTAGATTAAACAAATGGATGTATAACAATAGTAATTTGAGAAAATAGAAAACAATATCTAAGAATTTTTTCTATCATCTCAAACGACTCGACTATTGTCATAGTTCTAAAAAAAAAAATAATAATCGAGCTTTTATGTTTGAAAAAAATATTTGATAATAAATTTATTTTTCATATAAAAAATAAAAAATAAAAACAAATAATAATAATAATACAACGTATGTATTTTTATAAATAATTAAACAGAGAGTAGTGGGCTCCGACAACCAACAAATTTGTGGTGTCTGTGAGATGCATAGATTAGCCCAAAAGGGAGAGATGGTCCCAAGAATAATACACAGATCCACCTTATAAAACTACAGCATGGGTCTGAGAGTCATATTTTAAATAGTATTCTTCTCTCGATTCATTAAATGTTATTACAATAAAGTAGTTTTTAATAGAACGAATCTTATTTTTTATTTTTATTTCATTATAATATATTGAAACAATGTAACAAAATATTTACTACTCTGCTACATTTACTCCACTCCATTCTATTTTAATCTATCTTATTTTACTCCATTATTTCTTATTGGACCAAGCATATCCTTAAAGACGTATTAAACAAACCATTTTATACTGTATAAGTTATCAAATAATAATAATATGTAGATTTATATTTCAAAACTAACTACATTTCATTTAAAATATATCATCAACTTGAAAAAAATCACATGTATTGTTTGATTCCAAGATATGACAAGAATAATATAAAGAACATAATTTAAAATCTTCTTGAATTATTACCTTACTTTAATAGATACTTTTAATTATATGAAGAATGAAGATGGAAGTTCCACCATCTTTCACACCAAAACAAAATTCTCGTATACTAAATTAGGAATGAGAATAAATAAGACACTGTAATACTCATCCTTATATCCATATTTTAAAGAACTTACTCAGCATCTACCTTTATATTTTTGTTGGTAATAAATTTAACCTTTATAGTATTTACATATCTATATTTGTATTTATTAATTTAAAAAAAATATGTTTATATAATTTTATATAAATAATATAATAATATAAAAATTCAACACATAATTATAAAACAAAAGTTTAAACATAAATAAAAATTCATATAAATAGCATAATATATATATATATATATATATATATATATAAGATAAGATATATATTTAAGTATTAGTGTTTACATTTGTCTCTCTTTAATTCTGTGAGTATTTTTCTGTACCTGTTTAACTAATAAAAACTCTACTTTTTAACGACAAATTTTGTAAGAATCTATCGAACACTTTACAAGTTATTATTCTTATTTTAACTAACATACAATATTGTTAATCAATTGTACTTTAATATTAAGTAAAGTAAAGGAAATATTTAATAATATTGATTGTGATAAAAATAATTTTAGACCATTAAATGTGATTGATTGTCATCCAATCTATATACATTATGAGTTTGGTACATATTTAAAAGTAAAATTAAGAAAAATGAATATACCGGTGATTTCTAACTCGTTGAGCAAAAATATAAAGGAATATTATAAATGTAAATATAAGAGAAAATTGTTATTTTGTCTTAATTAAATGCATTTTCATTCTGCTAAACTAATCTTTTTAATAAATCAAATTCAATTAACATATATTTGACTCATTATAAATACATGATAACATTACACTGTTTCTTTTACAATTTTATTTGGAAGTTAATTTTTGGAGAAAGAGAAATGAAAAAAAAAATATAATATTTAATTATATTTAAGAATTTTTAAAAAGAGATGAGAGTTTATAAATTATTAAAAAAATTTATAATCTTATATTTTTAAGTGTCTTCAATTTTTAAAAAATTATGTTAACTAGTCCTTTTGCCTTTATTTTTTTTAAATCCTTTTATTTTCTCTTCCTCTAAATTTTTTTAAACTTGAATCATTTAACTGCAGTATATATTTTTTAATTAAAGTTGTTTTTCCTTTAAAATTTATATATAAACTAATATGATAGATTATAACTCTCGTATTGAGTTAAAAAATTATATCAAAATTGTTCTTGTTTGAAAAATAATAATCTTCAAGTCTCTGATCTGTAGCAATGACATCTTTCTGACGGTTGCTGACGTGGGAGGGTATCTGCAAAAGGCACTCCGATGCTAAAGTCAAAATTCAGTTATGAGCACTAAATGCTATTTAATAATGAAAGTCCACCTTTACTTGTACTTCCTACTTTCCTTTTATAGGCATTATTATGGGCTAATGGGCTTGCTGAGTCAGCCTTGATTTTGGCCTTTTAGTTAACATCGATAATACTCTGATTATTATTCTTAATTGGGTCAATTACCTTGTAATCCTGATAACTAGGTATTCGACCAAACTAGGCCGAATAAGTATTTGGTTTACTTTTTCTACATATGGGACCGAGCAGTTCCCTTTCCAGTACACTAGCCCCCCAAGCCCGAAGAGGTACAAGGTTTAGGGCTTTTAAAGACGAACAAGTATCAAACAGATAGATGAGGGGTATTCGGTTTGTTAGGAGGGCAGAATACCAAGGGGGATATTTAGTTTAAATGGCGAATCAGGAATACCGAGGGAGTATTCGGTTTGAAGAGATGCAAACTAGGCTGAATAGGGTATTCGGTTAAAATACTTGTAACCTTTTTTGGTGGCCGGGGTGCATATTAAAGGGTATTCGGATTTTCAAAAAAGTGGTGTAGATTGAAAAAGTAAAAAATAAAAGATAAATTATAAATAAAAAAAAAACATCATTCTAGAACTCAAGGTTTTTAGGGTTTTTTCGATGTGTGTGCGCAAGATGAAGGGTTGCCCGCTCTTAACTGTTGATCTAGAAAAGATCTAACATTTCAGAAGGGAGGTGAATCTTCGTACACTCGACCGCTCCTCTCCTATAAGTATCTGGTGGTCCAGGTCTTTTGTTCTCCACTTTTTCTCTGAGTCGAATAGTATTCATTGTTGTTTCAAACCGAAGGGTACTCAAATTTCTGTCTTCCAAACCAACTACTTGTGAGGTACGCTTTGTTTTCTTTTTCTTTCCATATTTAAACCATGGCCGGATCCTTAAAATGGGAGGACTCGTTGTCGGATTCATCTATGCCGACTAGTGTCGATGAACAAAATGTCGACAAAACCGAAAGGGGGGTGGAAACTTCTTCAAGGCCGAATAGGGTAACCAAAGAAGTAGAAACTCACCTTAGA